ACACTAGAAGCGAGCATTTGAAACTCACAAATAACTAATCTAAACGATAAAGCAGGTCAATTAAAGGCACCAGTTAGCACTGGGGATTCAACAGAACTAAACCCAGCAGATACAGGAGCCATCAAGCATCAGGCTTGGGAACCACTGGCTAAGATAGCCTTCCTTCTGATAACTGAGCAGGCCCAGCCATGTTCAGCTTCTAAGATCTGATGAGATCAGGCTAATTGGTGGCAATAGTGCTGTCAAGTTTACTTTGCTGCCTGACCGCCAGTTCTTACTGTCAATTTTCAGGGGAGACTGTTTATCAGCCAAGTTGGAAACACTTAGAAATGAGTATCGAGATAGGAAACAGATACATAGCAGAGGTATGAGGAGCAAGAAAATAAGTAGGAAACACAGCTATGAAATTCCATTAAAGTAACTCCCCAGCCAGACTTCAGATTGGCAGTTTAGAATAAGTGAAGGAAACAGTATTTAGCAGGTCCCAGTGATGGAGCTGTCAGAGACCTGATCCCAGTGTAAAATCGAAAAGCACTCTGAGAGACAGAGCTGTGAAATTGTCACTCTATACAGAAGCCACAGCCCTCCCTACCAATAAGCCCCGAGACTCAGAGGGGAGCTCAGCCTAGAGAAAGCAGGAACTCCAGCAGGGAAAGAAAAAGTAATCTTTTTATATTCGGTTTGCAAACAAATTTTCAAGCCTACATGCACTTCATACATAAATAAACATTATAAATGCAATAAGATTTAAATGAGAGAGAAAGGGAGGAAGAGAAACTACATTTGAGCTTGAAGGTTGATTTGCATGCAATTCCAATTCCTTTCCCCATACATTATTCATCTTTATTATTGACTCACGCAGAATTCTATTACTGAAATCTCTAATTTTTTGCCTTCTCGCTGGCAGAGGACGTACTACTTCCCTTAAGAGTTGCAGTGGGGAGTTTCAAACGCCTAACAAGGACTAAAACTAAAACTTGTTTCATTTCTCAATCCAGGGTCAGTAGGTGCTTTTTGGTTTTCACTCCACTGCACAAGCAGCAAAACATAGTAAAGCAAAGCTTCTGAAATGATCATTTTCACTGTATGGTCCTAAAGAACATATGCAAAGTTAGTTCCAATGTATCGAAAAATATTTATTTTACAGCCTTTTACACCTTTGTTTAACACCTTTGTTTAACCTAAACCCAAATGTAATAATCAACATCGCACAGCAACTTCTTAGCTCACACAATACGCTGGGCGACACACAGTACAAGTGCACACAGGAAAAGGAAATCAATGACACTAGAGAAATCTAGTGCACCAGAGAAATCTGTGCACATAAAAGCTTCCTTTTGGTGTTGGAATAATTTACGATTAAATTTACTCTCACGACTCCTCCCCTCTGAGAGGCAGGCCCACAATTCACACTGCCCTGGCAGTGACGGCTCTGGGAGTCCAACATTGGCCAAAGCAGCTCAGATGAGCTCTCAGCACGGTGATTACCGCCGTTTCCCAGCGACCCCCACCGCGTACCAAAAGGACACGGGTGGCATTCAATTACACCGGCCCAGACAATAGCGGGTCTGTGGTGCCCCGCAGGGGTGGCCAGTGGTGTTGGCTTTTCATTCATTTTAATGGATTTTATCATTTAGCTGGTCTCTCAAATCACACAGCACTCAAGGGGTTAGAGACAAAACTGCTGTGAAGTTCCTGGGTCAAGAGCCCATCTTCTACAAAGTGTTTCCCTGTTTGCATTGTGGAACAAAAGGGCAACAGGGTCTCTTTAGCAGCCCTGGCTACAGTTCGGAGACAGGATCGTGAGTCCTCTCGGCATGGAGGGGGTAGTCTCACTAACAAAATCTCTCACTGGGTACAAGACCGTGCCATCATAAAAATGGCAGGCGTAAGAAACGGAGCTGCCATACCTACATGGACAAAAAAAATAAAAACCACACAACAGTACATTATCCAAAGCATTTCCTCCTTTATTTCCAAAATTAAAGCACTTAAGTCGGATATAACCAGGGACCAGAAGAAACTCCATCTAGCCATCTACCAGATCTATAACGAACTATTCAAACCAACCAATGACCCACTCTTGGATCTTTTCCAGTCCTCTGACAATGCACAGATTCAGAGGTAACTATTAATGCACTATCTCACCTATAAAAAGGCCACTGTAGGAAAAGATCAGTGTAGCTCTTCAGCAATAAGGAGGTGGGGGTGAAAGGCTGGAGATGACATACCGTGAGCATTGATAACTTTACGATTCAGACAGAAGAAACAGAGTTAATTACATCTCCTGAGGCCGAGGTACATGTTCTTGAGAGATTTACAGATGTACAGAGTCTGGTATTATAGGATACCAAAGAGGGTCAAATGTAATGCCCCAAATTTTTGTCTATAATTACAGCAGAAATTCAATCTGCTCTGGAACAGAAATGCTTCCTGTTTAAATCATCTTAAAGACTTCTGGCACCAGAAAGGCACTAAACAGGTTTATACTGGGGCCCAGGAGTACGGAATCTGAACTCAATTTAATAACGTTTCTTTCTATACCATAGTTTTCTCTAATTTCCTGGTCAGTTCCCTGATAAAAACCAAAATAATGGAATTTGTATAATAAACTGAAAACTTTTTTGCATACATAGAATATAAGATAAAAGAACAAGGTTCTTTCCCCTTTGTGGGAAGAAAATGAAGAATGTCAAGAAAACGAAAGAAAAATATTTATGAACAAGTAATAGGTTTATTCCATGGTGAAAAGAGAAGAAAGAAAACAACGTTTCGGTCAATGGGATCATCCCTCTACAGATGTAACACTTTATGTGTTCTAAAATTAGAGAATATTATACTACAGAAACATCTATGGACGAATCTATGGAGAAAGATAGCAAGGAGATATCTGACCTGCCCTAGAAGACAAATATGTGAAAATATTTTGAGAAAGAACGAGTTTCAGGAGGGTACTGGCACTACTCTAGTGGTTGATCTCAAGTCATCCTTATGCACAAGAACAGTGTTGGACCATCATGGGTGAAAGATGCTATACAAATACAAGCAATTATTATAATCATGAAAGGTATAATCTAAATCAGTAAATATAAAGGATTATCTACATTTTAAAACATCTTTGTAACTCATTATTCAGGAGGAAAATCATCACTTACTGTAGAGTAACATCACTAAAATAAGCAGCATCTCCTCTCCCAACTGGCACTCTTTGCTACTGAAGGCACCAAGGGAAAGCTTGACTTTACCTTGTAGTCAAGGACAGAACACAACATTAGGATAGGCAAGCTTTCCCTTTGGAGTACTATTATTTAAATCCTCTGCCTTCCGATTAAAACTGAAACTCTTTACTTTAAAATAACCAGAGTTAACAACCAAATCGCCTGGGGTTGCCAACTTTAGGTTATTTAAATAAGAGAAATGAAGTAAAACACTCCACTTCAATACACTTTTCTCACCAGTTCCTTTTTTGTCTGATCACATCTCCATAAAGGTTTCAACAGATATTCCGGATATCCGGAAACAGTTCAGATTCACTGTTATCTTGTAATAACTCTTTCCCAATAGACTTCTCCCGTCTGTCTCTCAACTCCATACCGATTATACTACAACAGCATTCTCCTCCGAAGCTCATTCTGATTGGAAATGGAGCTACGGACTAAATGTGAGAGCGAGACAGATTCAAAGAATCTGTGCCAGAGCTTACAATTTTAATCGTTAATGTCATCTGTAAGAATTAAGTTTTAATGAATTCCCTACATGCGTATGCGTGTCCTTTGTAAAAAAAAATATATCTCGGTGAAAGAGAGACCTCATATTGGTGTTGAACATTTTCAGTAATTAAAGTCAGTTAATAAAAACCCCAAGGCAAGTTTAAATTACATGCAATTAATAGATATTTTAATTAATAGAATAAACTCAATATAATCTATTTAACAGTTCCCTGTTCTGCGCTCTGATTTCTGCTCCCTGTTCAATATTCAAGCCAGGACTTCATCATGTATTATATGTATTCCCAGAAAGACCGTCCTGACTTTGTCATGGAAAGCAGCATTTCAAGAAAAGCTGGATTTTATACACAATGAAGGGAAACAGCTTTTTTTCTACAATTCATTATGAAAGGGTGAATACGGGAATGGAGGAATTGATCTAGTCGTGAACTGTAATATTCACGACTAATCCAGTAAATGTATCACACTGAATTATTGATCTGTGCAATTTTATGTCTTCTGTACTTCTGAATGATGCAATGTTAGACACTGAGGACAAGACTGAAACCCATTAACACCTTTCAATGCAGGTGCCAAAGCTCCAATTAGCTACTCTTTACAGCTGCCACTCTTACACATCTAAAAGAGCAGCTTCAACTTGACAGAAAACGTACTGGGTATTTTGAGATACATTATGTCATTCACGGTGTTTAATTCCAACCTCCTGAAAAGGCCCAGCCGGGGTGAAGCTGGGTGGTTAAGAGTGTGGGCCTCACAGGATCAACAGCAGACTATTCCCAACACACACCATGATCGGGAGTCTTCAGCGACACCAGAAATGAGCTGGGGCAGAACGGACTGCCAGTCACTGGCCAGGTGCCTGATGGGCTACAGAACTGGGAGCTGTCACCGTCTCCATCTAAACTACTGTATCCATTCTTGAACTGCAGGAAGACAAAGGGTGGATCTTCCAGGATCCCGCCTCGTGAAAGACGTGATGGAGAGGCCACTGTTACACAAGATTCCAAACTGAATCAATTACTAATGACTTGTAAAGGTGAACAATTGACAAGACCAAAAACTATACACGGCCTAAAAAAAGGAACCCCCAGGCAGTGTTTGACTTCCTTCTTCTTCCGTGTGGATGTCACTAAAACACAACTGAAATATGAACTTCAAAGTATGGAATTGGCAACTTTACTAGAAAGGCAAGATAAAAAGTGACTGTCTCTCATTGCCTCTAGTCAAGAACACAGTGATGGCTCACTGGGGATTAAGCATAAGTTTACTAACCTTTCTTCAATCAGTTTATCCCCCACCATCCACCTCACTGTGGGCAAGGGGTATCCTGTCACCACACAGGGCAGTAGCACACTCTGCCCTATGACCTTTGTCACAGGAACTGGTTGCCGCAGAAATTCTAGTCTCCTGTCTGCCTCCGGTTCTAAAGAGAGAGAAGAGAGAAAGAAATATCAACCTGTTAACATACAGTGTACGGGATTTTCATTAAAAAAAGACATACACTACAAAAATTCACACCATTACTCACAGTGGAGTTCAGTGTCAGTTTCATAGACAACATGCAGAAACAGAACTGAAAGTATGCAATAAATTTAAATAAAGAGTGGCTAATGAACAAATTACAAAATATTATACAATGGAAGATGAATTTCAGGGACTTTCCAAGAAATAGAGCATTTAACCATCAGCCTCAAAATCACAAAAATCTGTTTAATTGCCCAGTATATTAGTTTTTTTTAAGTGCATGCAACTTTATTACAAAGTGCATATGAAGCTGATTTGTTTCATAAGAAATATCTACAAGAACAAAGCTGAAAAAAGAGAACATGGAGACACAGGTTTTCAAAATTTCAGTAAGTACAAAATCAAAGTATTTCAGCAAAACAGTAAATCTCGTAATAATGTGAAAGTCTTGGGTGTCTAGAATTAACATGTATATCGATACATATTAATCCATAATATATCCATATTTGTAGATGTCCTTCAGAAGTGAATTATATCGGGATTACTGGTAGTTTAACTTCCTCTGACCTTAAAACCTGCCTCATTACTTATTTAAAAAAGTGATCATTAATAACTGTAGCTAATTGCACCACACAGAAGTTTAAGACATGTTCTGCAAGACACTAATGAGAATGTTTGTCTCTTTTTTGGTTGCATGTTCCTATGTAGAAGCGAGAGTAAAAGAAACACTCATACCACCATAACCTAGATACCTTTGTATTAAAGGGTAGAGATACTTAATCCATTGGAACATCTTTTCAAAGATAAACACCACATAGTGCACAAGTTAAACCCTGATTTATGACCTTTAATACTTTACTTAGCTCTCACGCAGGGCATTTAACAGCTCCTGTAAATAATGAGCCTGCAAGAATTACTGACACAATGGAATTCGATAGTCTCGCCCAAGGTGAATTACAGTGCTGTTGTTTATAACCTACACCCAAAACACAGCCAAACTGGGAGCTCTCTCTCTGCAGGAGTTCTGGACATACTTAGGCTTTATGTTGCTGCTAAAGCAGAACATTAAATCATTTGAGCAGCCAACACAGAGTGAATTTATGGCCTCATTAACCCATTTAATATTGAAGTGATGTATTTCTTCTTCTCAGGATGCTAGCAAAGCTTTTGTTGTGTCTGAGACTCCATACACCTAGCTTATTCATCGCAAATGCCCCACTAAACCAAATGGAGCATGGCTTCATAAAAACTGCATCCATACTGTACTCTCCAAGAAACGATTCCACCACATCATTCCTAGTTTAGGTAACAAGTATTAAGCCTGTGCAGAATGTCCAAAAAGGAAATGAAGACTGAACTACTGGAAATTCAGAGTGCTGTAGCAGATCCTTGCTAACAGAATAAAAAACAGAACAAGATCTATAACATCATATAATTAAATTCTGAAACAGGGACATTCTTAGGTATTGGTGTTGATTACAAATATCTCTTCTAAACTAAGCTATAGGAAAGTCACAGGTACGTCCAACAGCCTGAAGAACAATACCTTCATACAATAAGCATGGAATACTACCTAGCAGGACTTGTAGCTCTGCCTCCTCACTGGTCTTCACTGGCCCCACGTTCTCCACCACACAGCGGTAGAGCCCAGTGTCGCTCTCAGATGCATTGCTGATGACCAGGGCTCCGCTGGGCAGCTGAATGACCCTCTTGTTCAGTTCCACAGGCTCCCTGTTCAACTCCCAGCGAGTGAAGGGCACCAGGTCCGAATTCACCTCGCAGCTCATGACCTCACTATCCCCCTGGTGGACAGAGGCAGCTTCTGGTTGGCTGGTGAACCGAGGCTGACCTGGAGAGAAAGGAAGTGAAATGAACCGGAGACTCAACAGCGAACTGTATTATAAACCCGACAGCCCTACCATACTGTTCAGTGAGCATTTATAATAGTGAGAAAAAAACAATGTTGTAAACAACTATGAAACTGGGCTGGAGGAATGAAATCTCATTAGATATACCAGGAATATACTGGTCTGCAGCTGCTATTATGTTAAAATTCTATTTGAAAGATATGAATACAATTTTGAGTTTCTCCTCACAGCTTAGATCTTTATCTTCTTTTACCTTCTTTATCTCGTTTGCCGATTTTGTGTTTAAAAACATTTTGCCACTACAAACAAAACAGCTTTGCAAAGTCTTTCATTAAAATGTCTGCGTTAAGGAACAATTTCTGAAAACCTGATGGCACCGGATAACGAACATGACATGGGAATATTTTAGTTGGACATTATGTTTTCCTTATGATTCCAGAGCCAACATTTTTTTTTGAGAAACTCCAGATTGCCAAGAACTGTCACACACAGCAGGAAGTGGTGTTGACGGTTTGGACAGCAGCCCCAATCCTTCTTGACGAGCATTTTAAAAACATCCCCTCGGGGTGGGAAGGAGCAGAGCTCTGGAGCAGACTGGACTGCAGATAAGACCATTAACACAAGGCCTGCATCACAGGCACTGTCTTCACGGAGGCAAAAGGGCTTGAACCCCTGTCCTTTTTACCCCCAAGAAAAGCCGCGTTCCCTCTGGAACAAGAAAACATTCTATAAATAAAGTTATACCAGGAAAAAGCAGGTGGCAGTCACAAATAGTCCCTCACTCTCAAAACTATAATCACTTCCAATATCCTCTTTCTCTTTCTTTGATTAGGAGCGCTCTATAATTCAGACTAATGAACCTATCAGCTAAATCACGTCATGTGGCACAACATTTCCCCATGTTTAGAGAATCACACATCACACAAGACTGTGAGAAGATACAAAAGGAACTGCCATTTCCCACTGCCAAACATGAACACTGGCACTCCAGTTTATGGATGCATTCGTAACGAGGGAAATGTGATTCGTGCCCACTGAGGAAAGAACTGGGGAGAGCAACAGCACAGTGACAACTAAGGTAGAACAGAGCACGATGGAGGACACCAACACAAAAAGAAAACAGCCAGGAGCAACAGTAGTACCGACACTAACAAGGGCATTGTTCCTAGTAACTCCGCTGAAAATGAACACAAGAGAAGGTTTCTATACGTACCGGCCGGAACGGAAGAGAACTTTTTTGGTGGAATTGCCTTAAATAAGCCCAAATCCAACAAAGTCAGTACGGCAGGGGGTTAATGGCAAACTACAGCAAATTAAAGAGGCCTGATATACTATAATGAGAATCTTCTCCATGTGCCATTTCAGAAAGATAAGGACAAGTTTCACACACGACGGTAATGTGCTGTTTCATAATTTATTCTAAAAACATTTTTTAAAAATCTGTAAACGTTAATGGTACAGTATATTTAAAACCTAAAAAATCACCATTCATGACAGCTTCAATAATTGTGGAGAACAACCTAGCTTTATGTTATTATGTAATACTTTTAAAAATTCTTATTAAGCAAGAAGTGACACACGGCATATTTAAATGGACTACAGTAAGAGAAAAGGCTAGAGGGGACTGGAATTGAATATGAATCTGCCCACAGTCTGTGATCAGAGACATGTTCATTCAATCATATGGAACTTCCCCACACACACACACACACACCACCACCAAGCCCAGCAGCACAAGCCGAATGAACCGACACAGGCAAAATCAAACCGGATTCCAAGAACAATAGCAGAAACAAGTACTGGTCAGCATGTAATCAGAGAGAAATCTTAAGAGGATGAACTGGGAGGGGAATGAAATTAGATGAAGGCATACCAAGAGGCATGTGGTACTTTGGGGATGAATATAATTAAGGTTAAGTCTCATCCACTCCAAAGAGTGGAGTTTGCAGTTGTTTTATATGTAAGGGTTGACTCCTGCTGAGAGGGGTTAAATGTGTTGTTCTGTTATCTGAGGAATTTTAAAAGCAGTTTTACAGCTCCGATAGTGAGCAGAATCAAGCTGTGAAAATTCAATTGAGAAAATATGCTCGTCACTTAAGCGATGTCTTATCCTAGTTTGCCGTTTAAATGTGACACGCGGACTGTAATTAAATGGGCATTATGTGCAAGCCGCAAGGATTCATTAACTTTTCATAGCTAGGTTATACAAGCCTAGTTAGAAAGAATTGACCTCACAATCCTGGCTTTGCAGCGCACCTAGCTAATATTGTTAGGTATGCTAACATTTGCATCCTGGAAACTCTCCACGGAGATTTCTGCTCTTCATCCAGACCCTGGATAAAAAACACAGATTACATTCTGGTCATGCAACAGGCTCCACTTTGAACACCCACATCCCAGCTGATGAGCAAGTCTTTTGTCTTTTTCATCCTTTTCAGCAAATCCTCTCTTGTTAGTACTGTTAAAAGAGTGAATGTAATTTTAAATACTCGGATACTGAGCAGACACTGTAACAGTTATTTAATGTCAGCCTGATATTATGCGATAGGACATGAGCTATTTGAGTATTGACTTTTGATTACCCTCTGTTGCCATTCTCAGATTCTTTATTAATGCTCTGCACCCAGTCCCTCTACAAAAGCACATTGGCAGGAATCTCTTTCGGAAGCCACTCTACTAATGAAAGCAGCCCAGTCTCACTCCCTCTCCACACCCCCATTATGACGCATGCCAAGATAATATCGGATATCAGACATCATCTGACAGAGTGCCCATTATGTAGCTATTTGTTATTTTTAAAATGTTCCAAGAAATTGCTGAGAAGCATTTTACATGATATATTGTGGCCCCTCTAATTCCCCGACACCACATCCCTGTCCCTTTCGTACAGCAGACATGTGTGTAAAAACAGGTCGGGGAACATACTAAAGTAGTAATTCTATCCACACTTTCATCTAGCCGAGCGTCGGGTTTCTTTGGAACAGGCAGCACAAAAAGAAGAGAATTCCAATTTCAGGATGCTTTCCAATAAGTTACGACCTCAATCTGCTAGCTCAGATTTCACTAGCCCAGAGACAATTTTCCTCCAATGTCAAATCCTTCACTTCCTGTCCATTTCAAATCGACAACTACAAAACCAGCTCTCGTGACTGAATATGGGCAGGATGAGGGACCATGAGGAGGATGAGCCCCAGACTTCACACAACACCCCTCAACAAGCCCATCACAATTAGAGAACAGTGAAATCAACAGACAGTTCTGCATCACGTCCTGGGGAAAAAATCTGTGCCATTCACTTCAGCTTGGAGTAAAAATTGAAAGAACCATCTGAGTCCATTAGTTTACCACTTAAGTATCTCACTATTGCTGTGGACATGAATGAAATGCGCTCTGTAGGTTACAGTCAAGAACCTTTGTCTAATACAATAAAGCAACTCTGTGAAGCAATTTAACTCAGCCAATACAGTTTAGCTGCATGGGGAAGTACCCAAGGACAAGAAAAGCAGTGAAACCTGAAAGCACTCAGGTAGAGACGGTTAGGGAGCTGAGGAACCAGGAGGCCTAGTGGACTGATCCTCCAAGTGGAAACACTGGAGCGAAGCGGCTACAGATTTATTGATCCAAGAAAAACTGATATTTAAAAAAAGGCTTTAAAACACACAAAGACAGAAAAGCAACGGGCCAAAGTCAGGACAAACACGCATCTAATTTCTAACCGAATCATTAAAATGTAAACAACGGGGAACTATGCAGTCCTGTAGTCAAGACAATTTAAAAAGTGTCATCTCTTCACTTCTGACCCCAGCCAGGTCATTTTATGATCTCCACGTCCGAGCCAGGAACTGGTGAGTACTCATTGCGCAAACACACATGCCCCTTCTACTGCACTCTTACTTCCTCCAGGTCATAAGATCGTAGGTGCCCAGGATCGGGAGGTCAATTAGGCACAGGGTGCATCCGTACCTGCAGCCTATGCTTTCACAACTGATAGCAAAAAAGTAAACATAAAAGAAAGGCATGAAACATTTTCACATACTTGAAATGTCTAGATTCTCATCCCCTCGAAAAGAAATAGCCACAGTCATGCCCTGGTTTGGTGTCAGCTTCAACAATTCCCAAACTGTGGTTCAAATGTTGACACACTTTCCACAAAGCATGGGCAGCTTATATTTGAAGAGTAATTTGTTATGGTGAAAAGGCAAAGAGGTATTTCTTCTTCGAAATGTATTTCTTTATTTCCAGTTAAAAACTTGAAGGTGGATTTTTTGTTTGGTTATTGTTAGTGGCTTTTCTGCTGTTTTTCCTGTGTTGTTTAAAGTGCTTGATGTCATAACTCAGCTGCTGGGGTTTACAAGTGTAATAAACTGTGGAATAAAAAAAATAAATAAATACGAACTTCTTGATTAATGCCCTGGGTAGGGAAGCAGGAGACCAACCGCACACAGGGCGCCGCCTAATCACCAACGAAGCTGGATGGCTTGAGGAGGAGTGGATACTTGTGTTCCAAGAGTTTAATAAATATTCCTCTTGGTTTTATGAAGCGAAAACAGTCAGGCCAGCCGTTTCTTTCATCAAAGCTTTATAGCACAGATTTAAAAAATGGGGAAAGGGTTCTGCTTCGGTCTTCGTCCCCAGTTTCCTTTTGAAATGCCTTCTATTCCATCAAAATCAGATTTGGTCACCTTATAATAATAATAATAATTGCTTACACTTATATAGTGCTTTTCTGGACACCCCACTCAAAGCTCTTTACAGGTAATGGGGATCCCCTCCACCACCACCAGTGTGCAGCCCCACCTGGATGACGGCAGCCGTAGTGCGCCAGAACGCTCACCACACATCAGCTCTCAGTGGGGAGGAGAGCAGAGTAATGAAGCCAATTCATAGAGGGGGATTATTAGGAGGCCATGACTGGTAAAGGCCAATGGGAAATTTGGCCAGGACGCTAGGATAACACCCCTACAATTAAAAAAAAAAACAC